TGGCTGCACAAAGCTCCAGACGAATGATAAGAGTTTCGCCTTGGGCGGTTTTGAAAGACAAATTGCGAGCAGCAGGAAGAAGGTGAAAGGCAGTGTGTTCAAAGGGTTCCAGTCATCCTCGGTCAAGTCCCATGCAAGTGATATGGTTAGGAAAACAAGCAGAGTGCTCAGAATGACCATGGGCACGGAGGCAAGTGCCCGCACAATCCGAGGGCAACATTTCCAGCGTGACATCAATTTCCATAGCCGCATGGACACCAAGAGCAGTACTAGGATGGATGGCAGCGTCTTCGCCCAGTGAATCATGTCTGCCAATGCATACAAGACTCGCAAGAGGTCGTCATAATGCTCATATTCCGGGTGGCGGCCAAGGTTACCAACTTGGGAAATGAGATGGAGTCTTGGCGCAAGCCAAGGAATGTCCCAGGCCCAAACCATGTAAATGAAGAGGTCAAGAGGAATAAGACTGCTGCTCAAGCGCTGTTCTGAAATTCTATCAGACAGCTGACTCCTGACTGCCCCATCAAAGACATCTAGGCCGGACGTTGTTCGTGAGACCTCGTGGAAATAGGTACGTCTGACTTCTTGGTCATCATACGAATCACTCACCGCCTGGTACACAACTTCCCTGTCACACATGATCCTTTTGCCAGTTTTGGGATGTCTGTGCTCGAAGAAGCAGCAAGAACATTGGCTGTCTGAAATGCTGAACTCTTGTAGCTGCTTAGGCAGCTTCTCCAAGTCTTGGACCAAACCCATTCCCGAATAGCTCTGCATCACGAAGACCGGAACCAACAGAAGCATTAGGCCGATCCTCACAAGTAGCCTCAAGCCGGTGAGGTCCCAATCGATGGTCACAGACTCCACAACGGTGAGCTGCAATCGCACACAGAGCCATGCTGCGCTGAAGAGGCAAAGAATGACCGGCATAGTAACGGGCACCAGATGGATTTTCCGCAAGCGCTCGGGTCGGCGGAGGAACATTGCAATCTCGTAGGTGCACCTTAGTTGCTGAGTTCATAAGCCCAAAAAAGTGTAAACTTTCAGTTCTATGGGGGATCATTTTATCCCCAAAAGTGTAAAGTGTATTCATTCAGCTACGAAGGCACCAAAGCCGAGTGAAGTATCGCGGCGACCAAAGCACGGTGAGTTCCTGCGAACACTCCAAATTGTTTCCGAGTCCCATGATGCCTCGCGCCTTCAGCTTGTCATCATCTTGAGGGATACACAAGATGTCCAAGAAGACGTTCTTGGGGCCCAGAAGAAGGGCCCGGACACGCTGCCAAAAGCA